GTGTCGCCAACTGTCGCATTATAGTGTACTAAGATTGTTGTGTGTTTACATTAACGCAGAGAACAAACGTACGAAAGATAAGCAGTAGGCGTTGAAGAATTGTTGTGAAATAGCGTAGATCAACAGACAAATGTTGAACTATTTGAGAAGACATTTTGTACACTTGGCTTTGGAGGTGTCATGTCACATTAAATGCAGAGCCTAGAGATATATTAAAAGCATTTTCATGAACGAGTATAATTCTTTCTTATATATTCTGTTGTAGTGTCAGTTTGAGGACATGTTGCTGCTATTGTCAGGATAGGTTAATTAATTTCGTTCGCTTTGGTAATTGAAACAACGGGATCAGCCCCATGAGCATCCTTCTACGATGCGATATTAAACGAGTGTTTCCTCTGGAAATTATCAGGAAATCACAAAATGGCCAGGATCTGAACTGCATATATCCAGAATGTGAGTCAGATTTGTCAGTGCTCTTCTAAACTGCTTTATGTTTTATGATACAAAGTGACAAGTCCTGTAAGATTTGTTTAGTACTAGTTCTGGGGCCCACCCAGCCGTCTGTCCATTGGATGCCAGGGTTCATTCTTTGAAGGTAAAGCAGTTGCTGCATGAAGCTTACCGCTCACCTCTGTAGAGTACAAAAGTAAAGACTGTGAATCTATCTCTCCCCTTCCTGATGTGTCGATTATGTATTTATTACAGAGCTAAATATGGATGGTGTTAAAAGCGAACTTGATTCGGACAGTGATAGGGAGTCAGCCTCTCCACAATATGAGCCTCAATTCATTAAAATAAAAGAAGAACACGTGGCAGATGACGATAATGAAGAAGAGACGTCCCATACAATGCAAAGTGATGATGAGCTTAGTGACACCCCAGATGAAGATATGGCTGAAGCAGTTATGTTTCCTATTGTTAAGACTGAGTACCATGTTGCTGATATGTCACAGAAAGATGCAGCAGATGAAGACATGTTCTACGCAGACAAGAATGAAATGAAGGTGAGGTTCATTGCACATACTGTGTTAAAAGCATAAGCTGAAAGTCAGAAATGTGCGTAATGTCGTGGAATTGGGCTTCAGGTTCTTGTCACTTTTATTGCTAGTAAAACTGCTTGACTTGTAGATTTCTTTTGTTTTTCTTAATTCCTTCCCCATTCCTTAGCCCTGTGTCTTCATATAAATGCAGATCATGTTTTTCTTTCAGAGGAAGACCTCATGTCAGGTAAATATAACTGTTATATATTACATACGAAGGCAAAATATGTGCATACATTGTTCAACAAATACATGTTTCCTTATCTGTGACAGCTGTGATATTGTATTGGATGTGTAGGATATTATTAAATGCTGCATCTGTTCTAATTAAGTTTGTGATCATTCTGAACTGCACTTCATTTATTGACTGCCTCTCCTCTTTTTTTACTGAAGAATTCTGGTGAACATTACCTATGCGCGACTTCGTAGAAAAATTTGCTTTTTATTCAGACTAACAAATATTTTCAGAAAGAACTTGTTCCACTTCTAATGAAGTTTCGTTAGATTATTTATTTGAGTGAAATCCATTTAATTTTTTATATATGGTACACCTGAACATATTACACTGCAGTAGCAGTCCTTTGAATCAGCCTATTCATTCACTGGTTTCTTGGTTTCTATCAGTTCCATGCTTTGGATGTCCCAGCTATAAAGCAAGAAATGAAAGATGATATATCTGCAGAGGAAAATGAATATATGCAAGAGAAACTTGAAGTCAGGTAAGTAGAATATGTTCTTTTAATATCCATGCTCAGTGCACTGATAATTTTGATATAAAAGGAGACTTCCCAGATAAATTAAGGATTTTGTGAAAACATTTGCAGGATGTGGCATCTTCTCATTCATCATATATAATCACTTGTTTTCTGAGTTATATAATTTGTGTCAGTTCTTGCAGCTTTGTTCATTAAATAAGCACATATTTCATTTATTTTTAAAGACCACTAAGTAAATTAAGTTCCACCTTGCAAGTAAATTATTTCCATTTTTGTATATGATCACTTTTAAGCATATTAAGACTGTACTCAAATTCCTTTTGGCCATTCATGTCAAATATTAAAATGTATCAAGTTCAGAATCAATCTTCAACTTAAGGTGTACTTTTTATCTTGAATGAATTGGTCAATAATGCTGTGCGCATATTCTAGGAAATATTTAAGTGGCCCAATTTGGGCATACAAAAATGTCTTGATATTCTTTACTGTGTTAAATCTGTGCCTAGAAGTTCTGAATGACTAAGTTTCCTAGTTCTTGTGACAATAAGATTGATGAATGTGGTAAAATAGTTGACCTTAACTTTTGTAAAGATAAATCTGTTTCCCCTGAAATCCTACTTATCAGAGATTTATTTGTAATTCAAGATGTGGGTTTTCTTGTTATCACCTTGAAGGTTGCAAAAATGGATGTCTATCCAAACACCTTCCCCCCAACACACAATCAAAAGTGTCATATTCATACAGAACTGTTGAAGGATGCTCAAAAAGTGCTTCTGGTTATCTTTCACAAAATCCACACTTATAATGAGCTTGGAAACTCTCATTATCAACAGATGTTTAGCATTCTCATCAGTGAGGCATGACCATTCTGGAGAAGCAATAATTTAGACAGCTTGTGCATTTCAATTTTGTCAGCCAGAAATAATGACACCTAGCTATTTTACAGTCTGCATAATCTGTATTACAGTTCTTGTTTTCAAGAATGTAAGCTATACAACATGTGGAAATAAGGTCATTACATACAGCTAGTGTCTGAGTTGTTCATCTAAAAATATTGATTGTGTCAAAAGGATTTATTCTCAACATTTTAGTCTTATTTTGGAATTTGTAGCTTAAAAAATGATGTTAAATAGAATTTATAGCATTTTGATGCTAGCTGATTTGCATTTAAGTCTGTCCTGTCTTTAATACAGTTGCAGATGAACATTTTCGGTGTGTGCTGTGTCTTTGTGTATCAGACTGTGTACTTCTCTACATACAGATTGGAAGACTTGAACAAACAAAATCTTTCTGGTGGCAGTAGTGGACAATCTTCGATAGCCGAGCAGGTCAGATATACCGGTCACTACATACAACAGAATGAAGAATGCCATGACCAAGTGTGCATTCAATGTGGCACAAAAATTAAAGGCCTGTCTACTGATACATTATCACACAACAGTTCAAAAGCCCTTTGTAAAAATTGTGTTTCAGGCAGAAGTTCATCTGCAAAGCATATTGATGGTTCACATGAGAAGTCTGATTCAGTAGAAAAATCATTTTCATGTGAGTTTTGTAAAAAGGAATTTCCAAAACATGAATATTTAATGAAACATTTACGTGTACATAATGAAGGGAAACCATACAAGTGTGATGTGTGCAGTAAAAGCTTCTCAAGATATGGAGACCTGAAACAGCATTGCATTGAACACAATGGAGGGAAACCTTATGAGTGCAAATACTGCAATAAGAGATTTTCAGAAAAGGGGAACCTGAAGACTCATTGCCTCATGCACACTGGAGATATGCCTTACCAATGTCACGTTTGTCAAAAGCGATTTCCGCATAACGCGTACTTGATCGGACATTTGCGTATTCACACGGGTGAAAAGCCATATGAATGCCATATTTGTAATAAGCGTTTTACTCACAATAGTGGACTTAAAACGCATATTCGCGTACACACTGGAGAAAAAAAATACCATTGCACAGTGTGCGATAAAGTTTTCTCTACTACTTCGATTCTAAACACACATTTACGTATACACACTGGAGAGAAACCCTACCAATGTCAAGTTTGTAAAAAATGCTTTCGTTCAAGCAGCAATCTTAAAATGCATACGTATATTCATACAGGTGGCAAAAGTTATCAGTGCAAAGTATGCGAAAAGATATTTTCTACTACTTCTTCCCTAAATTTACATTCCCTGCGTGTTCATTCGGGCAAGAAAGAGTATCAATGTACAGTGTGTGAGAAAAGATTTTCTGATGTATGTAAATTGAAAACTCATTCACGTATTCATGCTGAAGAAAAGCCGTATGCTTGTAGTATGTGCGATAAAAGATTCTCCCATCGTCCTAATCTTAACCTTCATATTCGTATTCACACTGGAGAGAAACCATACTCATGTGACGTATGTGAGAAACGTTTCAGCTCTAGTAGTGCTCTGACAAGTCATGCTCGCATTCACACGGGAGAAAAGAAATACCAGTGTACCGTGTGCAACAAATTGTTTGCAAATAGTTCGACGCTTGTTACACATTCTTACATCCACTCTGGGGAGAAACCGTATGAATGTGATGTATGCAAGAAACGTTTTCGTTCTAACAGTAATTTAAGAACGCATTCGTATATTCATACAGGTGGAAGGCGATACACTTGTGCAATCTGTGGTTCACAATTCTCTAGCAAGTCTAACCTCAATACACACTCTCTCCATGTTCACAAAATAATCAAACAGCCAGCTCCAAATAGAGGACCTCGGCCTGTAGTCAAGGTAACCACACATGCACTTGTAACTGACTCAACCACAGAATCTGTACTTCCAGATGTTCCAGTCACAGAATCTGTTCTTCCAGATATTCCTGTCACAGGATTACTGTCTCCTAATCATTTTGTTACAAAAACAGAACCTCCTGATGATTCACTCTCTGATTCCATGTCCGAGACTGAGGTTTCATCTTAGATTTAGTGCTTATCAGACATCATTAAGTTTGCTTTTGCATCTAGATTGCAATAAAAGCATGAGGAATCAAAGAATACATTTTGGTCAAGACACTATTTATACTGTCAGTTTGAAGCTGCTTATGATACATGAAATTTTTAATACATAGTAGATGTTGCTTTGCACAGTTGTACACATCAAACTAGTTTTATACACATTCTTGAGCATTCCCAACTGGTGGTACAATTCTGACCAGTTGGATATGTATGATAGCAACAGCATGGCATTCATCATTGAGGAAGTTTGCAACTTTTATAAAATGTTACACATTAATTTTCAGAAGGTTAGTCTTTACATCTGTAACCTTTAAACAGTTAAGATTATAAGTTTTACAGAAATGATGTTGGGATATTCATTTGAAGACTTATTCTGTACTACATAATTGTGTGTCGGAGCATGAAATAGACGTCACATTTAATGAAATATTAAGCATATGAAAAACCTGTAGTTATTGTTTGTCATATTTTTTATTTGTGTTTGCTCGATGTGTTTGAACGGAAGTACTCATTACCATCTGACATCTTTCAACACATGTAACACATTATATTACAATGAATGTGTATGTGCGTGAGTGAATGTGGTTCATTTCTAGGTATGTACAAAAATACTTTGTCAAATAAAAGACAAGAAAAAAGTGTGTCTGCAACAATATATTGTATTTATTATTACTAAAGCTGTAGAATATTTGTGTTTTTCCTCTTCAGACGGTTCAAGAGAAGAACCTACATGGTACATGATCTTCGTTACTAGTTTAGCTATTCAAGATGTTCTCTACTGTTACATGCCACGATGCTTCATCTTAACACATACTAGCCATTGAACCCAACATTTAGCCAGTTCATTACTATGTCCTATTTTTATAAACGTGCCTTTACCATTTCGTCTGTTGTTAATACTACTAATACAATATGGGTTGTTATTTGGAGGTTAACGAATCAGATTTTTGTACAGATGTGCCTAATGTGGAAGCTATTAACACTAAAATATTTTTCATATTTTTACAGTAAAGGTTTTCTCTATAATTGTCTCCCAGAAATATAAAGGGAGCTAGAACTTGTCAAAAATAATATTTAATAATTCATTCCCTCCTTCAAAGAGAATACAATGAATCTGCATTAGATATGTCAGTCAATTAAAGCTGTTTAATCATATGAAACCCACAAAACATCGTGGACAAAATGCAGAGTTATTGGTTTTTACATCAGGTTGTACGCTTAGGAACCAGAGGGCTTTAAAGGGATAAATATAATGATAAAAATTTGAGCTGAGAACTCGGTTTTATTCTTGTAATAAACTTAGAAACAAAATTCATTTATTTATTTTAGTTCTGGACTATAATTCTTGGAATATTGGAAAATGTTTAGTTTGAAATGATTCAATGGTACTTGCAGAAACTCTTGGCATCTTTTATAACAGTTAAGGACTTGATACTATGTCTGTGAAAGAACAGCATTAAGCATTCTGTTTATAATACTTCTTTGTCATAGCAGAGGATTAAAAAAATACAATTTTTTCATTTTAATAGCATAATGTAACTGATCACATCAGTCATCAGAATGTGCAGTCAGGAAAACTAAATTTTAAATGTTAAAACAGTGTGATGTGGCATAGATTGGACTCCTCTGGCTCAGGATCAGGACCAGTTATAGGATCAGATTATTAGCTTTTCAAGGACTCTACTCCATAGAGTTAGTTAATAAGAAATGTTGAAATAAAACGATTGTTATGTGGAAGTTGATGTGAAGACACTGGTAGTATTGAGTGGGAAATATTTAATCAAGAAATATTCCATTTTTATACATAAGCTGCAGACACTAGCAAAGAAGTGACATAGAAGTTAGATTATTATGTTTAAAATGTGAAACTGTTGGCTGAAGACAAGTCAAGACAATATTGTTTTCAGGCAGGTTTGTGGAGTAGCAGCAAATAAGGAGAAATTGTGACTGATCAAGCTGTGCAAGTTGCCTCTTACAGAAAGATATCATCTGAATACAATTTAAAATGGTGATAAATTTGATTCGTTTTCATGTGATATCTCCCAGCAGACATTGAATTTTAGTGGTAATATTAAGTTGCAGATAATCTGCCTAAAGTAGAGGAGACTATATGTGAAAGCAATTTCGTGCATGTTCAAAAAATGAACTTTACACTCACACCCTCTGACTTACTGAAAAAGCGTCGTTAAATAAACAATAAACAAATCATGTTGAAATTGTTTTGATATCAACAGAAGGAGGAATATTTTTGCTTGCCTTCTGTATTACCCGTGAAAAGATCTCTTGGGCAGTGGACACCATAACTGTGAGATTCTTTGTCAATGAAATAGGCGTGTTGCAGGATTAGTTGGACTTATGCTGTATATTTTAAAATCAAAGAGGTTATTTTCGACGTGCAGTTTATATGATGTCTTTAAAAAGTGAAGTAAACATAGAAATAAAACAAGAAGTGCCCCAAGAGGAAAATGATATTATGGTGAGTACTCTGAATATGGAAAAAATAAAATACGTTACCTTCTCAGATGTGTTAGTAATTTTATGCGCTTTCCTAATTTTCCACGTAAATCATATTTCAAAAACACCCATGACTTATGAACGGTGATACCGTCAAAACAGTCATCATTATCGTGCTGATATGTGATTATAACCGAAGTATAGGCGTTTAATCACACAAGACATTCGGGACATTGTAAGAATTCTAATTGTCATTTATTCTAGTTATTTGAAGTTTCACATGCATGAAGGAGAAGAGACTTGCATTTATAGCAGGGCAGCTGCGTATACATATAAAGGTGAAGCTTGCAATATGGATAAACATTTACCAGTAATCTGAGCGGTAAATGTTAATATTAAGTAAACAGTTCTCCACTCATGTTAAAATCACACCATGTGTAGAGAAGAATTATGTGTTGTGGCTTATGTCATAAACAATACTTAATAAGTCATACAGTGAGGAATTGGAGGATTTTGACATGTATAAGTGCTCCAACAGACAATATCACACTTTCTTTTATGATCACATTACATAGTGACAAAATTAACAAGGAAAGTTTGCATAGGAGACTGCATTATCATTAGTCTTTTGCATAACCAGTACCACAAATAATTTTTTTTATCAGGGAGTACCCTCAGTTAAGGAAGAGATAAAAGAAGAAATTACAATAGAGGAATTCCGGTTGGATGTAGAAGATTTTATCACAGTCAGGTAATGTAATGACTTGTTCATTAATATAGATATCCTCAATATTTTGCATATATTTGGTATGTTTCTGTTTCAGAAATCAAAACTTCTAGCTTCACCTCATTGACTCTTAAGGGTCTGATGTATATGTGTGTACATTTATGTGTAAATAAAAATAGGTGAAATAGTTTGTCCACATTCTTTGACCTTTCCTTCCCTACTTTCAGTGTAATCTTACATTTGGCTTTGAGAAGTTTATCATTTGAATTTACTTGAGATACTATATTTCTTTAATTTCAGTTTATTATGTAGATAAAACAGTCAGCTAGTAACATAGCCTCCTTGATCAATACATCTTGTAGATTGGCAGTGCAGAATACTTATTACTCAGAACATTTTTCAATTCGTATCAATGAAGACAGGGAATGTGAAGAACTGAGTTATTTATTGCACACTGAATAAACATGCAAGCTGAATGTTCCTGTAATATCTTTTATTTTCACCGATATGAATAAGTAAATATAAGGAAACTTATGTAATTTTGAACGAGTTGTAGTAAGAAGTAATTTGATTTTGGTCTTGGAGAAATGAGACTGATAAATATAAAAAAAAGAAGTCGGGATAAATGGTGTCAGATGGGAATTTAAACCTGCTGGCTTGACATATTACTAATGCACCAATCAACTCGTTTTATTTCAATACTGTTCTCTGTTACTTAACTTGTGTCAGGTGTGGGTACAAATATGAGCATGTTTATTTAATAGGAAGAATGTTGTTATGGAGACAGAGGCAGATTCAGCTGGTGAGATACAGCTTTCATCCCCACATGCAGATGATCATGTTATTGCAAGGAATGAAGAGCTGCGAGAACCCATTTTGTTTGTTGATGTTGAAGCTGAAAAAGAAAATGAGGTTGGTTATAAAAATGCCAAAATGAAATGTCAGCAACCTTCTCATATTTTAACAATATGTTTTTATACTTAGCCATGTATGATGACTACATATTTCAGTGTACTTCTGCCACACTAGGACACTTTTAGCACACTATATGTAAACAGTAAGGTGATAAGTTCCTCTTGTGCATGATTCTTGAACATTGTTTTACAACATTTCAGTAACCTTTTGCAGTTATACAAGCAAAGTACAGGAAAAAATCCCCCTCATTTGAATATGCTTCCTTCGATATGACAGTTTCCCCTGAAAGTAAAATAGATGCTATCAAATATTACACGACTTCTTACTTCACTAATGAGTCGGATGTCAGCTGATGGTCATAATTAGAGGAGGTGTTAGGGGTTGAACCTGCATCAGCCTTGTGAAATTGATTCTTTTTGAACAAAATCCAAGTTTTAGACAAATGCTTTGGGATGTAAGAAAAAAAAATGTGTATGTTTTTAGATGTTTAGTTGGTTTGTACGTTTCATTTCTTGGTGTCTGAGAACACCCCAAAATTAAGTACCAAATTTGTTATTGCTTTCATTTGGTTCATTTCTGAGACTGCATGTTTCTTTGCAGCCCGTAAGTAATGAAGAGGACAATAATTGCGTCCAACAAATTCCTAATCAACAGATTCATGCAGAAACAAGTGAAACACAAGCTGTTCCAGTCACATCTCAGAATGGGAGAGTTAAAAGATGTAATATAGCTCTTCCTCATAATGGAATGCAGTATAAGAGGACTGCATATAACAGAAAGAGGAGTGGTGATGAGTATATTGTCTTTGGTAAGTTTGTTGCTCAAGAGTTACGTTCACTGCACTCAGAAATACATAGAAGGCTGCTGAAGCGGAAGATACAGAAAGCTGTCTTGGAGGTTTCAGAATTAGATCATCACAAAGCGGGTCCACATGAAAGACAGTAAATGGAGTTTTATTTTGTTAAGAATTTGAATTATTTATTGAGGTAGTAAATGACTGTGGGTTAAATGCTATTTCTAGGTAATGTATGTTTTTATGTTCAGATTCATACTAAGATGTGCCTTTGTTTTGTTTTCATTTGCAAAAGACCTCAAAGTGCATTTTTATTTTCTACTCCATAGAAGAATTTACTTCAACCAGCATTTCTTAGCTATACATGTGAGTAATAGTGGTTTTGTATAAATATTTTTGTAACAATATTGTAGTTGACTGTAAATTACCTCATAACTATGTAATTTATATTCATATTATAAAGAAGTATTGTATTTGTGCTGTGACATGTTCTACATCCTTGGCTTTGGCCTGTGAAGGATCTATGGAATGTGAATAAATTTATTCTACTGGTGCATAGCTATACAGTTAATATGTGTCACAAATTATTGCCATTTACTTCCCTTCAGTTTGCAGTGATTCCCCATCTTTGCAAGTTATGAGAAATTTGGCCAACATTTATTGTGTAATAGTTTTGTTTATAACAGTGTATATCACATGTGATGTGAAAGGTCATGAATAACTGTGAGCAGGTGATTACGCTGTTTTCTTTTTAATATAATGTCAATGTTTACTCTGTGTATGTTCGTTTTATCTGTATTTCGTATGCAGTCAGTGAAGTATTGTCTTTCGTATTCTAGTTTCCGTGGATAGCAGTTTCCGTTTTGGAAGACAGGCATACGTTGTGGTGTACCTGTTCAGTTTCTGTTCACTATCTCTCGTGGCGTGGAACTTTTCTCTAGTCTTTGAAAGACTTTTTGTTAATTGCATAGCTGCACTGGCCTGAATCGCGAGAATAAATGCAGTCTCGGTAGCGTGAATCATGAAACTTCAAGATCACTATTAGGTACGTTGATTTACGTTTTCATGCGATTTTAGGTTGCTCTTACCGATATGTTCTCATAGATTTGTCAGGCCATACGTTAAAATTTTCACTGTTTTTAATGCGATGAGTTTTATTAGTTAATTAACTAACGAAGTCGTATACAAGAAAGTAATTTTCATGCCAAGTCAGGAGCAGATTATGTCAGAAAAAACAATGTACATATTTTTCAGGTTATAAATATGTGTGCCATGCTGAGCAACTAGTTGAGTGTATTACGACCCACGACAGAATAATTGTAATGTCCATTGTTTAGTGTTGATTGACTTATGGAAGTTACAGAATTGGGGATTATGCTGTAGTCTTAAATTGTAGCATCCTGTTGCATATGGGTTAAATAACAAATCTTTAGTTCCTGTCAACGTGTAAGTAACGAATTTATTTCAAATGTGGTAATAGATCGTTTTTATATTATATATTTCACCGTATTATTAGGTATGCTATAGATGTACAACAATTTTTGTACTAAAACGGATAATTAATAAAACAGTGTCAATTCGTACTTACAAATAGCGGAAGTTAAGATGTTAAAAAAATGTCAGAAGGTGTGGTGGTTTGTTAAAAAGAGATAAAATGTAGATGCTAACATTGAAGATGATAATATTGAATAAGTACATTATTTGGTGTGTTGACAGTCTTTAAACCTTTGTTATGCAGTAGTGGTTACTGCTATAGCCTTATATTTGTGAAGTCTTGTGGTTATAATCGCAAGGCATGGATTGGCTCTTGTGATATGTCTGTTCATAATTTTCCTTGGCACTTTGATAGCCACATCATCCATTTATCTTTCTTAATGATTCAGTGCTTAACAGGTCATGTAGCATTGTTAATTACGTAAATCAGTAAGTGAACAATCTCGAGAGGATGGATGTAGAGCATCTGGAAGCAGAGGCAAAGGCCACAGCAGCAAAACATGTCATCAACATGCTTCAGCGACCAGGCCAGTTGGAAAAGGTTAGTCACTGCAGTGTAACCTTTTAAGAAGCTGGCTGACACACTCACTGTATGTAATCTGATTCTGGTTATATTGTGATATTATAGAGCTTTATTCTATGACTGAAATTCAGTGACAAGTCAGATAGCATTGTATTTGATTTATTTTAATATGTTTGTTCCAGATTCTTTTTCATTCCTTTTTAAAAAAAAAAATTCTCTGTTGTATGAATTTTTTAAAAATATGAATTGATATGTTTTATTGTAATGAAGTTCTTGTGGAGTTGTATCTCCAATTCACATTACATCTTCCTGGCATGGTCCTTATTGATGCACAAGGACAAAGTTTTAGCACGCTGCAATCTTCTTGCTGTGTGATGTAATAAGCAATTTATGCATCTCGCATGTATTTGTATAGTCAGGTCTGACACATGAATACGTTGCAGACTTACTGATTGGAAACCAAGTATATTTATTAGATATGTAAATTAATTTTGCCTCTGGAGATATTATAGATTATGTTGGAAACTATAACAAATTATTTTTTGATATCCGTGTTCGCAAAAGTGTTCCTTGCTACATTGCATCTTTTGACAACACCGACAGGTGGAGCAGTATAAGCGAAGGGTGAGTCGCAAGAAAGCATCAGTGGAGGCGATGCTGAAATCTGCGATGCAGAGCCAGTTGGATGGCGTTCGTGTCGGTCTGAACCAGCTGCAGGCCGCTCTGCGCGACATAGGAGAAATTAAGGAGAAGTGTGTAGCATCATTAAAAACTTTTACACAGTTTGGTACTCATCTTTTCTGTGGGACTTCAAAACTTTTGATAAGCTTTGAAAATGTAGTCACTGCTGGTGTAGTAAAGTTTAGTGTTCTGAAGGGCTAGGTTAATTGATGAATAAATTTGATGCCAAGACCATTAAAGATGGGCGTCTTACAGCTTATCTTATGTAGCTTCCTGTTTACAATTTGGTATGACTGTAACTTTTCATTGAGCTTTAAATAAACAAAGCAAATTAGCAGGGCTCTTCACTCTCTGCTTCTGTTTTTGGAGGATACTGGATTTGAATTTTCATAATGTTAATGGCTTTTTGTGGGTTTTCTCATTCACTG